AACGTAATTACCACAAGCCTGCAAGAACATCTAACGCTCTGATGTAGGCGCCAAGAACAGGTAGAGCTCGATACACTGCGTTCGTCGCTTTTATCCGAAGACTGGAGAAGATCCTCCAAGTTGACGTTGGCTGGGATGCTTGTTTGCCGTCGGCGGGTGATCTTAAACCATCACGAAGCGCACATCAAAAAGCCCTTGAATCTGCAGTCCATGAAAGGAAGCCTGACCGGAATTCTATCATCTCCAGGTCACGGAAGCCGCTGCGCAAGATCTGGGGCCCTGCATGCCTGCTGGTTTGATGGTACCTCGGACATCAACCAGACAAGCGGAGAACAGAAGGGCACAATACCTTCGTGCTGCCAAAAAACACCAACATGGCATCATTATTTGTTGAACACTGTATACCCAGCACCGGCAAAGCTTGTGCGCGCGGTGTCACGTGTCTTCGTGAAAATGCAGGAATGTCAAACTGATGCAAACGGCCTTGTGCTGCGACATGTTACGATAGTTCAACTTCTACAAGCTAGCACCGCTGCTGGTGGTGGTGGTGCTGCTGCAACAACAACAACTATTACTATTACTATTACTATTACTATTACTATTACTATTACTATTACTATTACTATTACTATTACTATTACTATTACTATTACTATTACTATTACTATTACAACTATTACTATTACTATTACTATTACTATTACTATTACTATTACTATTACTATTACTATTACTATTACTATTACTATTACTACTATTACTATTACTATTACTATTACTATTACTATTACTATTACTATTACTATTACTATTACTATTACTATTACTATTACTATACTATTACTATTACTATTACTATTACTATTACTATTACTATTACTATTACTATTACTATTACTATTACTATTACTACTATTCTATTACTATTACTATTACTATACTACTTACTATTACTATTACTATTACTATTACTATTACTACTACTACTACTACTACTATTACTATTACTCTTACTCTTACTCTTACTATTACTACTATTACTATTACTATACTACTATTACTATTACTATTACTATTACTACTACTAGTACTACTACTACTACTACTACTACTACTACTACTACTACTACTACTACTACTACTACTACTCCTGCTGCTGCTGCTGCTGCTGCTGCTGCTGCTGCTATTACTACTACAGTACTATTTCTTCTACTACCACACATGCTGCTACTGCTACTGCTGCTGCTACTGCTACTGCTACTGCTACTGCTACTGCTGCTGCTGCTACTGCTACTACTACTACTACTACTACTACTACTACTACTACTAGTATTACTACTACTACTACTACGACTACTACTACTACTACTACTACTACTACTACTACTACTTCTACTACTACTACCACTACTAGCACAACTTCCACTACCACTACCACTAGTACTACTACTACGACGACGACTACGACTACGGCTACGAGCACTACTACCGCTGCTGCTCGTGCTGATCATCAGAACGATGTAATACGGACTATCCCCGGCAACATAGCACGATACAGCACGCGATCGACTACATTGGCCAGACTTTTTTGGATGCAAACTGTATCAAAAAAATGCAACAGCGCGTGCAACAACTGAAGAGCCTACCAGAATAGCTCTACCCAGACTGGTACTAGGGCCTTGGGCAAAGATGGCACCACAAGCACCACCACAAACAACAACAGTACAAACACAAACACCGGAAGCCACCACCACAACAGCAAAGACGACGACATCAAGAACGACAAAGACACACACAAGACACAAACCAAGACAGCAACGACAACAACAACAGCAACAACAACAACAACGACAACAACAACCACAACGCTGAGAGCTCGCCGCCAGAGCTTCTGATTATGTGCCCTACACCAAGCCCTCTGAATAGTATCGCTTCTGCCATGCTGCAAAGTTCTGATGTGGCCGCTGTGGCCCAAGCTGCTGCTTGACTCCAGCTCAGGCTCGTATGTCTGGTTGTAGTCCGGCTGGGCGGCCAAGAAAATACCCAAACAGTCCTTGAGTCACAACTTGGCACGGTGTACCTCCGACATTCCACCAAAGAGATTCATCAGCCCTACTGGCCACTCCTTCCAACCCACCCACGGAGGTACGATTCCTTGTGCCAAGCCAGCTTTCCGCTAAGTCGCTTCCTCGGAGACGTTGCCGCTTTCAAAGGTTTCATGGCCAGGGTCACTCTCATCGAGCTCGTTCCTGCAGTTAAAAGCTGGTGTTTAGGAGAAAACAGGCGAAAACTTTCACAATACACCATCGGGAGCACAGCTTGAAGCACTGCATCCAGATCGTTTGTCACAAGTATGCCTGTAGACATGAAAGTGGCAACATGCCGTTGTTTATGATCTGAAAGTGTCTAGGATCCTAGGAATAAACGAAGAACATGCAAGCCCAATCAAACACACAAAATGAGAGAAGAAGGTACAGTTGCAGCGACATCCGCTCACAGAATCACACCCAAACTTGGCAATCCCGAGCCGACGAGCGTCAAAGATTTCTCTTGCTTCGTGGCCCTGAGCTGCGCAAGCTCCAAAGCTGCATCGGCATCCTTAGCTCAAAGGTTGGGGTCTGCGTGGTCGGTTTCTCTGTGTTGCAGAGCTCGGGCCATGGTAACCGCACGTACGGATGCACGTGGGAAAGTAGGTCAGAGCCTAGCTCCTGTTGAAAGTCAGTTGGTATGGGCTCTTGATGTCTCGCGAACAAAAGCCCATCATGATAGGAAGCCGATGACCCGATCAGCCAATGAAGCTCAAGTAGCAGCGGCAGCAATGCACCCTACCGCCCACCACACTGCTCGAATCCGCAGCATACAACAAGCAAGTTCCTTGCACATATTGTGATACCTTATACACCATGACAAATATACCTGGTTCAAATTGAAAAATATAGTTTCTTCAAATTTCATAATGTAGTTTCTTCAAGTTGAATGATCTAGTTTCTTCAGATTTTAGAATATAGTTCGTTCAAACTTAACACGTTGTTCAATTTTAATAGGTCGTTCAAATTTTACATAATACCGACATAATACAATAATATAAGCAGGCTCGCAGATGCCAAGCTGCGCAATCCGAAGCTTCCAAGACCTCCTCAGCCTTGGCATCATTCTCGCCAGCTTTGGAAATGGTACTAGTTATAGGGGCAGAAAGAATTACCTATACTATTTTGGGGATTCCGTATTATAAGTACAGTATGCAGCTCTATAGTACAATGGGTCCCAAAACCCTATTCTAATTTAGGCCCCTAATGTGGTCTCAACCACTTTGCCGGCAGGCAAGAATAAACGTCTGCCTCTTTGATTCTGCACGAATGCTCCCACTTCAGATGCTGCTTATCCTACTCCTAAGACTGCTACGACTACTACGACCACGACAGCTACGTCTCCGGCTACGACGACGACTATTATTACTGCTGCCACTACTACTACTACTACTACTACTACTACTACTACTACTACTACTACTACTACTACTACTACTACTACTACTACTACTGTACTACACTGGTTTGTGTTTAGAGGTCCGAGCAGCCATGGCTGTCGCAAAGGCTATCACCAAGAGCCGGCCGAACATGGTGCTCGACGGCTCAGCGCTTTAGGGGGACCAAGAGGACGACTCTCTGAGCCAAGCTTGACCGCAGTGCCCAAGTGATGCTAGTGACATGCACCGCTGGAGCAAACCGTTCATTGAGGGCAGTCGCATTCGGATCCGTGTCAGATTTCTCTTTCACCTTCTATTGCGGGAGCGGGTTGTCCACCAGGGGTTTAGATGTTTGCTCTCCTAGCTCATCAGCTCATCCTGTTGGGGTGCGATTTCGTGTCCTTGCCTCTGTGTTGCATTCATGTCCCAAAGCAGTATTTCCTACATTTTCCCACCAACTGCGAGTCGTTTGCGTCTTTGGCGCTGGAGTCGGTTTCAGCCGCTCGATTCGCTGGCGCGTCAGAGACACTTCCGATGAACAGCAGAACAGCCGTGCTCCAGATACCTTGGCCGAATCAAAGCATGGCCGTGGCTAAGCTTCGCAGGTGTTCTGCGGTAACAGGGAGTTCCACTCGAGAAGATCAGAGCACCGAAATCCCAATCCTCCACCTCTGAAACTGAAAAAGCTGGTGGCCGGTCCAAGCAACTCCTCCCTGGTGGTCAAGAAGCTCCGCAGATGTGGGTGCCGGCACACCTAGGGCACCCAGTCAGTGTTCGACAAGTAAAGATGGCAATGGGCTGTGCCACGAGACAACACATGCAATCCACACAAACGGTGGAGGGTCCATAATCCGCAGAAAGGAAACTATGGTAGCTGAATGTAGCCAATCAAGATAGAGAGATGCTTGTATCAACAATTCTAGTCACCGAAAGTAGCAGGATTCGCATCAAGAAAATGCTCACTGCATGCACGTGAGCAAAAAGGCGATACAGCTGGCAGCAGCAACAGCAACACCACCCGGGACCAGTGCAAGGTGAACAACCCCACATTGCGCTGTGTGGTTTGTTTGCGGCAGTGTGCTGCTTTGGCATGTGGGGCCCGGCTCGAAACCACAAAAACCCAGCCAGTAAGACTTATGGCTTCTTCGGAAAGACAGTGGGTCAGCAGGCTCAGCCTCCAGATTCCACTGCCAGCAAAAACACGCTCTAACAAGCCAACACAGGCAGACAGACTGACAAACACACAAACCGCCCAGTCTGGAAATCGCTGCGGAGCATGCGCAGCTTTGGGACAAACTAGGCCGAGGACCTTGGCTGCACCCCGCCATGCAGCATCTGGTCCGTCGGCCGTCGCTGACAGCAGCCCTCCTCGAGCTTTGAGTACTCACAGCTGGGAACAGCTCGGAGAGGTCTTCGGGTGGTGAACCGGTGCAAGGCCAAATTTGCCCTCACGTGCAGCAGGCCAACCCTTGAGTCGACGGTCTCTCTTCTGTGTCACACCTGCCAAATCTACATAAGGGGCAAGACGGTCCTGTCAGGTAGAGACTTTGGCGAATGTCACGCCTAACTTTAGACGTTGCAGCATGGTAGCAGCGCTGCGTCGGCAGCCAAACACCGTCTCTGATTGGGCGGCTTGTGTCAAGTCTGCTGCGTTGTATGGCAGCAGATTCAGACCTTTCAGCCCGAATTTACCCTCTTCCCCAGGGCAGGTCAGGGAAGGGCAGCTCCAAAGCGCTCCGGACCCGTTCTGCAGCTGCCGGGCGAGAGCTTCGGAGCTTCGGCTGCCGATAAGATGCACGCGCCTGCTGGGGAGAGGGGTATGGGCTGAGAGATTTACGGCTTTCGGGGCTTCATACTTAGGTTAAGTGGGATTTCATAGCACCCTAAATAGTAGGATCCCTGTTATAAGGACCCCAAAATCAGGTACCCCTAATTTTCGGAAACTCCCACATGGGACTTTGCAGGGCTTTCTAGGGCTCCGACAAGGGATCTGGCTGCACACGTCTTGGAATACAGGAAACAGACCGAGAAGTCCGCGTAAAGCCAGCGTTGGGGTCTAGGATTGACCGCTTGGAAGCTCTGACTACAGTAGATCCGCCCACACACACTCCGAGCTCTCGCAACATCACTTAAAGCATGATTCTTGACCTTGACGGCCCTCCGGCCTCGAAAAGGGCGCTACTTGGTAAACGTATTCCTGCACAACTCCGTCGTCCGCCACAATGGGATCTCGCCTTCACGCGCTCCCAGGACTTAGGATTTGGAGGTCGTGGAGCTTCTATGTATGGTTGTTTAATTTAATAATGGTGTTCACCCAAGCTTCAGTAGCGGTCGGGGCCTGGGAACATTCTGGAAGGGCATTTACGCTTCAAAACACAAAAGTCAATCGATGGTCAGTCTTTGACAAGCGGGGTTTGACAGTTGTAGAGAGGAGGCTACTCTCGAAGATGCTAGTTAGTTAACTTTCATGCGGAAAGCTGGGTCCTACCGATGCCTTTGATGTCAAGATGTGCTCCAAGGACACAACATCATGATGGGTTTGTGTGAGAGTTAAATATGCATCCAGAAAGTGCACTCCCGGGCTTCGATCAACTTGGGATGCAGATTGGCGAACGCTCTGTGCATGCGCTGCAGGCAAATGCCGACACCGTTCAAGTGGAGCGGTGGTCGACCGACGAAACCTGTTCCCAGCCCAAAGGGCTCGGCCATGTTCTGCCACACAGTCTCTGTCAAGCTCTCAATGCCTGGCTTCGAATCACGAGTTCACTAGCCACAAGCCTGCAAAACAGGCAAAGACGTCGTGACTGCCTGCGCAGGCTTCTGGTCGTCTCCAGGGGGCAGCGGCGAACTGCTGTCTGTATGGCACTGGAGATCTGCGGCCAGGCTGGCTCCTAACAGCTCACTAGCTTCCGGATCGAAATCGATAAGGGGGGCAGATGCGACAAACCGGGCTGCAGGAGAACGCACGCACTTCAACATGGATCACTGGATGAGAAGACCCTATCTCCTCATCCGGATGCACAGTTCCAACTTATGTGCGTTTGCTGGCTGGCTTCACTTTACGTCACACGTTCATGGGACCATGATGCTACCGCACATGGTCGAGAGTCGACGGCCTCAGGATCCAAGTCTTCATATGAGACGATCGCCGGCACGAGGAGGTAGCCCTGCGCGGTGTGGGCATGTGCCTCGTGGCGGGGCCTGGTGTCCAGCAACCTAATTTCGGTGCCTCACAGAAGGGTGTCACAGAGAGGTGTGCAGCACCGACGTCAACGATGATCATGCTGTCAATGCTCGCCGTGGTTGACGGCAAAGGAAAGTGGATCTGACATGCAGCCACCGCCGAAGGAACAAATGCAAGAGATGGAACACCTCGGTGATGTATGTGGCTCTTCGAAAACACTGCGACCGTCAGGCTGATTCACGTTGCGAGCTTTGCAATCCCGATGACTGCAGCCTCCCGCAAGAGCGTATCCGGGCTCACGACTGCCGGAGCCCAAGAGCTACTTCTCGATGTACCCATATCAACAGTAGAGTCGCTTGCATAAACTCTGGATGTTGACCTCACATTATCATGTGCCAGGTGAAGCAACTGAGATGGAGGCCAGCGCGAACCAAGTCGTTGCAGACCTGCTCTCGCCAGGCTCGCTTGGCGTGCATCGGCTCGACCAGCACCACTGGGTGGTCTTGTGGGCGAAGCTGGAGGTCGGCCTGAAACCATAAAAAAAGACACTATGGCTATATGATTTTTAGTTTATTGTCATTTATTGTAGTAATTGTAGTAGTGTAGTAAATCACATGAAGCTATATTATTATATTGTAGAAAAAACATGTCATATCATATCATTGACATGAAACTGCTTTTACTTCGAGTGCTGATTGTAGCGGAGGTCAGGTGCCCGCACATCACAGCTGAGCAGCAAAAAGTGGCAACCAGTCACCCGAAGCTGACCCCGGAAGGGGAAGCTGTCGAGTCTCTTTGCAGCCTGCCATGTAGATCCGGCAATTGGTTAATTTGATAAAGGCCTCGATTGTGGGATCTCGCATTCAAAGACAGAAAGCACCGGTGGAGGTGGCCGAGACTGCACTGCTTGGAGGGACACCTTTTGCTTACCCGGAGGGACGAAGCCGGCAGCAAAGCCAAAGTGATAACCTGGTCAAGTCGCTTGGCTCTCTGTCGTTCACATCGATGAGCCCCGCGAATGCAGGGGAAGCGCCTCGGTCGAAATCACCTAACCGGCAGTTCGCAGTAGCTTCGGTGCAGAAAGTGCCTATCGTGCAAAATCTGTCGCCTGGCGCTTGTCCGTGCGAGCAAAAAACTAAAAACCGACAGCCACTGAAGCCCGCAAGCCGAGTCACACGCATCGATGACAAGCACTTTCCTCGGAGCTTCCGCGGGGCGCGGAACCTGGGATGCAGCACAGCGCCCACGCGCTGAAAGAGGCTGTGACCACGCTGCATGCGTAGCCGATGGCGGAACTGGAGCTCATGTCGAGTATGGACTAACTGACTGACAGATAAGATCTGGAGCCTGGTGAGGAGACAGCAACTCGACCCAGCCCTGTGCGGTGTCCTGCTGAGGCCACCACCAAAGAGTCCAGAGAGAACATAAGCGAGAATTGGACTAGCTCAATGAACGGTGCTTCAACTTCGAACCCCGCGGATCTGATGCTGGCCCGTCCTGGCTTTCACCGCCACAAGCGACGGCGTATTCTCGGCGTGCTAGGAGAGCACCTGAAGTCCGACAGAAACCCGGCACAAATCATACACATGTATACATATATATATATATATATGGTACCCCCCCCCCAAAGACCAAGGTAGCTTTAGATACAAGCCTACTTACACTGGCCGATAGTCGTTGGTCTTTGGGGGGGGCAGGGTGCCAATAACAACCCTGTTATATAAGGTGTAGGGACAAACATGCATGACGCAACCCCGTTGTGGTTTTCATACAAGCCTGCACACAATAATCCTTATACCATTTCCTGTCGCACATTCCAGGAGGCCTATTGAATTCAATAGGCCTTCTGGATTGAAGATTGAAGATTGAAGATGCCCTAAAAAAGTTTCCGGGGAGATCTTCAATCTTCAATCCGGGAGGCCTATTGAGTTCAATAGGCCCTATTGAATTCAATAGGCCTTCTGGATTGAAGATTGAAGATGCCCTCGAAAAGTTTCCTGGGAGATCTTCAATCTTCAATCCGGGAGGCCTATTGAGTTCAATATGCCCTATTGAACTCAATAGGGTTTATCTTGAAATCGATCATGAGGGCCGTACGTGGAAGTGTGAAAATTGGGTTCAGGGGTCAAAGTCTACCGCTGCGTTTGCGTACTTTTGGAGTACAAGCATATGGGTTTTAAGGGCTATGAAGAGAAAGTCATCAACTAGACGTATGATACTACCTTTAAGCTTCCCTAAAGGTATTCTTTTGAATTACGCCCAGCTTAAATTCAGATAACACTACTAGTTTTATTCAACAAATGCAGTTGGAATACTAAGAGTATAAGCGAGGGCTCAATCTATCGAACTGTATACTACTGAGGTATCAAAAGCACATACTTTAACGTCCATGTAGCTAGCAATCTATGCATGAATGTATATGTTCGATTCAATTATTGGAAAGACTACTAAATGCACCGTATTATTATCATACTTAGAACTGATTTGACATAAGTAAATAAATACTCCGCCTAAATAGGTCCGAGGATCTGGCCTATCCAGCTGTTTGCGTACTTGTGAAAATAATATTCTACAGCTATATACTAAGCTACACCTTCATACAAGTATAACGTTGTCCCTACAGGCACTACCGTGAATATATTGCTTTCTGAGTTCTACTTAATCGGCAGACAACAAACCCTCCATGCTATTCTTATATTCAAATCTGACGATTGTTAGCTCAGCAAGTCCTATGCTTGAATTGATCCGAGGATTCAATTCAATCTACCCAATCATCTAATTACCAACATACAGAAAATAATGTTTCTGCAGTCAGTAATCCGTATAAGTATGTCATTATCCCTGGGTGTAGTGATATCATATGAAGCATTATAAATATAGTTTTCTGTCTGTTCGTGTTAACTGGCAAAGCACTTCATGAATAGCTTAGTTGTAGAGAGATTTCTTCAGGCTGTTTGGCTCCTATTCAAAAGTATAGCTTCCAAGGTTCTACTATACTGCTTCAGTTAAGCAACAAGGAATCTCAAACCATATTATTAGCAATTAGCAGTTAACAGACCCTGTAAATTCGATTGTATAACCAATTGCTGAGTACTTCATCTTATGTTTCCAAGAATGAAATGGTGCATGCTAAATGGTAACACCGAGGTCTTATACTCAACAAGCATGTTTAAACTATAAGACTATATGCTTGATATCTCAAACATAAAGTCTAAGAATACATGTCTTTGTAGGGCCACATCTGTAGTAATTAACAAACGCCGGAAGTTCAATTCTATATTTAGCTGGCAAATAGTTAACCTTTTCTTTTCGCATATAATAAATGGTACACACTAAACGATGGCATCGAAATGCTATGCTTGGTAGGTGTTTTTAAACGTTACAAGTAGCTTGATTTCTTAAAACCAACAGTATAAGAATAAATGTGTTTGTAGTAGGGTTGACCACATACTACAACTGAAGCTAATAAAGCACACGGCATGGGGCGAGATTTCCATACGAAGTAAGCCGTCAACAGAATATGGCACTTGAATGGAAAACGTTTTGGTCGTGATCGTGCTTAGAATGGCTCTAGGCGAGAAAACCAAAAAAACAATACCGACAAAAACAAAAAACACTACCACCAAAAACAAAGAAACACTACCAAAAAAACATTATTTCAGTACTCTTCCAGAATAGCATTAGAATTCTATAATGGGAGCACCCACCAATGTTCTTATCTGAAAACCTTGGTCTTTGGGGGGGGGGTAGCATAAATATGTATATATGTATATATACATATTGTCTCTCTCTCTCTCTCTCTCTGTACATGTATATACTATATCTATCTATCTATCTAAGCATCCATAAACAGATAAATGAACGATTGCCAAAAGGAAGGAATGAATGCAACTTAAGCACAGTAAACTCATAGCTAGCGGAACTACAATCGAGACTCAAATCTTCGCGGTATCACCCACTGCGGAACTTCCACTTGTGCAAAACCTTTCGTTACCAGTTGTGCTCGGAGTTGGTTCGTCCATCGATCGCCAGGCCGTAGAGTAACAGAACCCAAAGGATTTCAGGCTTGTTGGTCGGGCCCTCGTCCTACAATCAGCAATGTCTGCCTATCTACTCTCTCCCTCCTCTCTCTCTCTCTCTTCCACTCTCTCTCTCTCTCTCCCTCTCTGCTCTTGCTCTCTCAGAATCCAGTCAAGAATCGAAAGCTGTCAGATGTGGCATCATCTTTGGGCCCAACCTGTTTCCAAGCGCCGTCAGCTGAGGCTCCAGCTCTCTGGTCTCTCCCATCTGTCGAGGACATCGCGCTCGAAGCGGTCCAGAACAAGTTGATCCTTCAGTTTTCTTTGCCAGGCCGTGTGATTCAGGCCATCAAACTATACTCTTCATGCTGGATGGTTTTGGGAGTTTGTGCTGTGAACCGGGACGACCAAGTGACTTCGACTCGGTGCGGGGGTGTCGGCTTCACAGAGGACACCCATACAGGAAACCAACATGCCGAGGAGCACGTCGTCGGCCCACCGCACAAGCATCCTCAACGGAAAGACCATGGCTCCAGGAACGCTCCCGGTAGTCGATCATGACCTTCAAGTCGTCAGCGCCGAAAAGCGGATAGACAGGAGGAATCTGGCAACCGTTGTTTGCTCTTGTTTCTGGAAGTCGGACAAATAAATCAGCAGAGGGTCGTCCAACTTCTACTTTTTTTGATAATTGTTCCCGCCTCCTCTCTCCCAAAAGGCTGACCCTCCCTGACCTGGCAAGGAATCTCTCCAATCTTCAGGTCCAGGATATCGCGCTCGTAGGGGTCCTTTGCAGCATTTACATGATGGAAGGCAAGTCAGGTTCCGATCAAAGCACTTGGGAGACTCTTTTGCTTTCCAGTGTCAGCCCCATGCAAATCGCCGCTTATAAACCCTCACCTCTTTTGCAAGCACGGCCCTTTGGCAAATCGAGGTGCCCGGGACAACTTCGCTCGCTGCTCGGCACTCTGCATGGCCCAGGCCACCTCGCAGCGCTCGTGAGTCGAGGGGTTCCTGTTAGACTACTTGGAGGATCATGGGACTTAGTAAGGTAAAAAGTACCTTACCTTGGGGTTTTTTACTAGCAAGAAGTATACTTAGCCTAATGAGAACGCTAGTTACTAAGTCCCATGATCCTTCAAGTACCCTGGTACCAAGACTTCGATCAGCCTGGAAAGAAAGCTCATGACCAGGCAGGGGGTGCATGTGGGCTTTGCAAGGCACCGCTTCGTTGTGCTTGGGATCGACTGCAACCACAGGTACCGGGATGCTTGACTTGTACTGTGTCGGGTTGTGGTTCCAATGACTTGGGCAGCTGCAGCTTTCCAAGGCCATGCAGCATCAAGCATCGCCCGAGGCAGTCCACACAAGCTCTTTTATCTCCTTTGCAGCAAACGACGAAAATTGAGAGTAAGGTAGAGCACGAAAGTTCTTGAGAATTCACAGAGTACTTCGCGTTCATTCCACCGATCAAGCCTCGCGGAGCCCATCCAGATACTGCTGCACAGACTCCTGTCAGACATGTGGGGCTCTTGGGATCGGTGGCTCTTGTCGCCTCCATGGTGTTGGGGAGGGTGGCTGGGCGGGGGCTGCGTGTCAGAGGCGTCGGTGGCAATGTATCCAATAAGGACGACTGATGCCGTTCTGGCCCATGGATGCTTCTATTTTTCTGTTTGTTTGCGGATGTCACGGCTGTTTTTGTTGCAGCTGTAGCTGCAGCTACAAATGCTGCTGCTGGTTGTGCTGCTTGCTGCTGCTCCTGTTGCGGTTGCCGTTGCCGTTGTCGTCGTCGCCCTCGCCGTCGTCGTCGCGGTAGTGTTATGAGGGCTTGTGGTTGTGCTTGTTGCTGCTGGCTCAGGTGCAGGTGCTGGTGGTGCTGCTGCCAGGCGGTGGTGTTGTTGCTGATGCAGGTGCAAATGCTGGTGCTCGTGCTGGTGCTGGCGCTGTTGTCGTTGTTGTTGTTGTCGTCGTCGTTGCTGTTGTCTCAAGGTTCGGCATTTGCAGCGCGCCACAACGAAACCCCACATACCCTTACGGTTGTTGTTGGTGGTGGTGTTGCCCTTGCGGCGTCCCTCTGGCTATTCTCGGCATTGTCTTTGTCGCCGGGTCAGTAGGAGTTGGCAGGGACTGGTGGTGCGGCCGCCGGTGGGATCAAACTACGCATGCTTCTCGCATGCAGGCTTGCTGGAAGTACAAAGAGCTGGAGCTGAAGGCTGCGAAGCCTTTGAGATTGCATCAACTTAAGAATCGAATCTCGCACCGCAGATACGAAGGCACTGGACGGAGCCCTTCTGAAACTCTCACAACCCCGTCCGCATCATCGTCAGCATCTTCACTTTAATCTGCAAAATGGAAGCCGTCCTCCGTGACAGGGACCTCGTCGCAGCGAAGGGCCCATTCCTTCGGCAAACTTAGGGGACAAGCGCGAACAAACCGGCGAAGAGCAGCAACCCTCAAAGTGCATCAAGGAACAGGTTACTTTCATACGCATGGCACTACATGCTTCTCAAGCTCGGAACTGCGAGGACCAGAGCCTCTCATTCCGAAGGCTACACCCAAAAAAACGGTTCCCCCGACACTTGACACTCATGTGTTCCTCCAGGCACATCTTGCATCTAGCTTTCGGTTTCCGGTGCCTGGAGTGTGTTGCATTTTCCTGTCGCTCATCAACTCACTCCGCGGCTGCGACAAGGGAAAATTGTCCGAGGTACATGGTTCGTGGCCGCCTGCGCTGCCGGGGACTGCATCCGCACGGCAGAGAACATGCAAAGTGGAGAGTCCTTCTGTACTAGCACGTCGCCAAGATCAGATTCCCCAAAGTGAAAGCATGAGACCCGGATAGAAGCATCTCTACAAGTGTTTAGATTGGTGGCAATAGTACGAACAACGGCAGCCAGCCTCAACACCACCAGTAACAATACTATAGTGGTAAGTAATGACAGCAGTACATGCAGTAGTAGTAGTAGTAGTAGTAGTAGTAGTAGTAGTTTTTGTCACCCACCTGGCACACCTGTGGCAGCTCCGCGGGGACTGGATGGCTACAAGTCACGACGGGAGCCCCCCTGGAAACAAAGCAACAGAAGGTAAGGCCACTCACTACGGATGCTCCCATCGATCTGGAACACAACTGCAACTACTCCACAAAGGCTTCTTCTACGCTACCCCCTCCCCCAAACGGTTTTGACAGGCCCCCCCTCGAATATACATTAACCGGCCGGGGGGAATGTATAATATTAGGGGGTTGGCTAGGTTCTCGTTTGCGACAGTTTTCGAGGTTCTCACAACTTCACACTGGCTTCACATGCACTCGTTCACACTGGCTTCGTGATGCCAGGGTGCTTGCAAGACTTGACAGAGGAGGCTAGAGTTCTGTTGCTGCCGCACCGCCGCTGCAACTTGGAAGCTGAACTTCTCCCCGGCAACGTTGGCTTCTACAGGCGGGTGGCCAGGGGAGTGCCAGGGGTCACGTGCGGTAGTGTTCTGCTTAAGAATTGCACACGACCTGAGATTGGAGCTGGCTCCAGCACTTATGGCATTCTTTCCCCCCGAACCCTAGAAATTGGCCGTGAGGCAACCCCCTTCTCGGGGCCGGGGGGGGTTGGTGGCCGGGTTTGGGCCGTCGTAATGATATCCTGTACATGTGCTGCAAACCTAGCTCGGGCAGGCTGGACTGGCAAACTCAGTCGGACTACTGGCTGGTGTTCCTGCAGGAGGTCAGCGCGTTTCTGCGGCACGGTGATGCTGAGACGTTCCCAGGACCGCAGCCACAAAGCCAGCACAGCACCGTAACACGTCCGTCTTTGGCTGCTACTACTACTACTACTACTACTACTACTACTACTACTACTACTACTGCTGTTGTCAGGCTTGTCACGGGAGTCACGGATGGAGCTGGTCCACGAGGATCCCATGGCCTTGTTGGTGAGATCAAGGTACAGACCGCTGGTGGAGCACATTTGGCAACATGAGTGGCAGGCTCTGCAGGACCGGTTGGGCGTGGCTGGGCGCAGTGCAAGCACTCTTCTGTAGCAGTGTTGATGTAGTGTTGATGTCTTCTCTGTCTCGTCATCCACAACCAAAACTAGTGGGACATTCCGCGATTGCGTCTTGTACCCAGTCAGCTACGAGAGCGTGTAGATACTATGAGTATATTATGTGTCGAGGTCGGGGAGAGTTGTCTGGGAATCCTCGAGTTTTCCTAGGAGTGAACCAAGGCCGAAATGTATATTTGGCGGGGGTTTGGGAACGAGACCCCCCGAAATATACATTACGTGCGCGTAGCTCTCGGTAGTCTCTCGGCAAAGGAGCCTGGCAGCAGTCGGGTTGCGCGTTCGGTTTGTTGTGAGAGTGTTGTCAGCATTCTCAGGAGTGAACCACAGCTGGGATGTATATTTGGGGGGGTTTGGAAACCAGAACCCCCCGAAATATACATTACGCGTGTCTAGCTCTCCGTAAGCGTCGGTAAGTGAGCCTCGCAGCAGTCTGGCACCAGTCGCGGGTCCTTTCCCAGAAAAGGACCCTAGATCGAGCAACATCTCTTCTTACCCAACCTTGCATAAAAAACCAGATTCATAGGGACTTGGGTACAAGCTCGGGCTGGCAAACCCTGCTGTAATGTATATTTGGGGGGGGGTTGGGACCAAGCCCCCTCCAAATATACATTACGTGTGCCTGGCTCTCGGTGAATGAGTAGTCTATGGAGTTCTAGCACTGTTCTAGTAGTGTTCTGGTAGAGTTCAATAAGAGGTTCAGTATAGATTCTGTAAGTGTTCCGAAGTGTTCTGTGTTTTGCAAGCCTCCTCGTGCATTCCTGGGAGTGAGCCAGGGCTGAAATGTATATTTGGGGGGGGGTTTGGGACCAAGACCCCCCCAAATATACATTACGTGTGCTTGGTTCCAGGACGGCGGAAGCAAGTGCTGGGAGTCTGAGGCGAGCCAGAACTCCAGCGACCTGCCCGAGGCGAGTTCCACAGCCTGCACGTTTCATTGTCTCCTTCTCATCCGACAGTGGTGGGGTGATGCTTCCGGGGCCTGGCTGCGATCTTGGCTGGGCCAGGATCCTAAAAACCAGGCCATCTCAGAGACTTGTTGCTGCATGGTGCAGCGCTCAGCCAAGTGTACTCGGGAATAGTGCGGCAGAAACAAGCTGCAGAGATCGGCTGTCCACTGGATGCCTATGTGCTGCCGGACGAAGTTGCCTTCCATGTGACCCGTGGGCTGTTGGCAAGTGATGCTTTGCCATAATTACGGTAAAGGACATTCCAGCCCATCTCGACCCCCGGGAGGTCCAGAATCCTAAACCCGCCTTGTAGCAGTGGTCGTAGTAGTGGTGGTGGTAGTAGTAGGAGTAGTAGTGGAGTAGTTGTTGTTGGCAAAGCCAATAGTCCACTAGTGGTTGTGCACCGGTTCTGCTGATGTCGTGCTATGCACCGCTACGACTTGTCCAAGCCACCTCGGCGCCAAAGGAAGCGAGCGGCATAGTGCTTTCGAAACATGTTGCATCGCAGACTTCTGGCAGCCAGCAGAAATGTATATCAGCCCCCCCTCGAAATCGAATTATCTGGCCCGGGCCAGAGAAATGTATTTCTTCAAATGCTGTACCCCCCCCCTCGATATACATTGTTAGGCGTCCCCCTTCTACGCTACTTCTCTGAGTAGGCTACAAAGGTGTAGCCCCAGTCCAGCAGTCCAGCAGGATTTGTACAGCTACAGCTACCACTACAGCAACTGGACAGGCAATGGCAAATGTCGCCATTTCCTAAACTCCTACCAGTTCAAAACAGCCTCGTCCCCAATTCACATGCATATATGCACACAGCAGTTCGAAGACATGCAAAGTCAAGGCGCGAATTACACTTCAGCTTACCTCAGTCAAATCTACTCTCCCAGCTCACTTGGGGCAAAACACCGAGTCAAAGCAGTGCCATTGCTGGGACTGCGTTAAACTCGGCTATTCGCACAGCCAGCTTGTCCTCTGCTGGTTTTCCCACTCCAGTCAAAAGGCGGTCGTATGTCCTTGCTTCCAACTCTGCTGAGCTCAGCCGATGACCACATCAGCCCCACATCAGCCCCCGGGCCTGTCCCCATATAGCACCACAGCGCCAGAGTATACACATGGTCGCATAACTGCGTCGTAGGCGGAGGCAGCAAGGGCCGACTGTGGACGTTCCTTCCGCGTAGCGAGCGCCTGGGGGGACTACGCAGGTGCGTCTTGTACGTCACAGGAGTCAGTGTCAGCATAACGTCGTCGCGCAGGGCCCGTTCCAGTGGTGTTGCATCCACCCGACTGTGTAAGAGCCAGCTCAGGACCTCCGCGCAGTTTGTCCCGGGTCCTGTTTGTAGGCGTTGGAGAGGTATATGCCTGCCAGCAAGGTTTTCCGCAGACAGCGTTCCAGCAGTGTGGCAGGGTCCAACGAGCCAAGGTTTTCCGCAGACAGCGTTCCAGCAGTGTGGCAGGGTCCAACGAACCAAAGTGCACAGCTTGTCCCCAGTATCAAGTAGGCACTGCTAGGAAATGGTTTTGTAAGCACGGCTTTCCGGTTCGACATCCAAGAAACCACTGTGCAGAGTGGCTGTGTGCACTGGACAGCGAGCCTCCGTACATGGCGTCCGGCAGCTTGTCATGATCCAGTAGACCCAAGTGCGCAGCTCTGTGTGCAGGCAGTAAGTAGTCAGAGGCACACCGAGAAACCATGGCAATAGGGGAGGTGCGTTTTTTGCAAGCCCGGCTCTCAGTTTTGTAACCCCAGAAACCACAAAACCCAAGTAGTAGTAGTAGTAGTAGTAGTAGTAGTAGTAGTAGTAGTAGTAGTAGTAGTAGCAGCTGTCGTCCTAGTTGTGGCCGTGGTTGTGGGTGCTATATAGCACAAATTGTTCATATATTACATGATCCACCAGGTCATGCCCTATAAGATATCTGTGTACTATATATATGTATGCTCACCCCCCCCCATGACAGACCGTCGTGGGGAAGGGGAAGGGTGGCGTGCGTCCCCAGGCAGGATCTGTCAACGGATAGGCGACAGACACTTCTCCCAAACTCAATTCCAAAATGTTCTTTTAGATGGTTTGAATTTTTGGAAATTTCTTCACACGCATGCAGCACTCCTAGTCCCAATCTTAATATCAATTCTGCTCTTCGTACCACTATTACTGTTTGTAGATCTTAATACTTGTATCAGTGTTAGCATTAGTATTAGTTTTGTGGTAGTATTGATATTAGGATGTTTAGTATGAGTAATAGTATTCGAATTAGTATTACTCTTAGTATTAGCATTAAGTATGTGTATTGATGTTAATAGTAGTAGTCGTCGTACTAGCAATAGTTGTCGCACAGCAGTAGTAGTGGTAGCATTAGTATTGGTATTTGTATTAGTATTAGAATGAGTATTAGTATTAGTATTAGTGACTAGTATGAGTATCAGTATTAGTTTTAGTATTAAGTATGTGTACTAGTAGTAGTAGTAGTAGTAGTAGTAGTAGTCGTAGTAGTAGCAGTAGTAGTAGCAGCAGTAGTGGTGACATTAGTATTGGTATGAGTATGAGTATTAGAATTAGTAGCTAGTATTAGTACTAGTATTAGTGTTAGGATTAATATGTATTGTTCTTGGTTCTATTCTTAGTACTGCTGTCATTGTTTGTAGTAGTCCTAATCCTGGTATCAGTGTTCATATGAGTAATAGTTTTGTGGTAGTATTGATATTAGGATGGGTATTGCTTTAGTACTAGTATTGGTATTGGTATTTAGTATTAGTATTAGCATCAGTATTAGTATTAGTATTGAATAAAAGTATACATATCAATAATAGTAAATATGAACTCGTGATTATGTTCGTGCTGGTGTTAGTGCCAGTGTCGATGTCAATGTCAGTAATAGTACTCGTGTTAGTATTAGTATCGGTCTGAATGCTGGTTTTAGTATCTGTTTATTATTCACAGAAGTGCTGGTATTAGTATCAGTAATAGAAATAGTTTTGATATGTGAATATACTGATTGATTCGTACATTTTGAGCTTAATATAATAATACAGTAATGTATTCGAACAATAGTATATTTGCAGAGTTGAAGATTGCGCGAATATATTAGTACGTTGGTGCATGAGTACATTAGTATATTGGTGTATCATGATATTCGTATGTTAACGTAGTAGTATATTAGTATATTATTATAGTGGTCTATTACTACATTTACTATATTCGTATTTTCCCTAATAGCTTATAGGTATATCAATATGTTGGCATAATGGCATGTGAACATGTCAGTGTACTTGCCTTTTACAGTATTCGTATATTAGTACACTAGCATATTTAGTGATAATTAGTGTTAATGCCAGTGCCAATGTCGATGTCAGTTTTAATCAGTCTTAATGATGAATTTAACATCAGTGTAATATTCGCGGACGTGCTAGTATGCGTATCAATACTATAATTAGTTTTGATATATTAGTATACTGATAGATTATATAAACAGCTTAGTATACCAACACATTATAATGTATTCGAACAGTAATATGTTTGTATACCTGCATGTTTGTATGCTCTTAAGATATCAATGCATGCGTACGTTCGTGCATGAGTACATTAGTATATTGGTGTGCTATTATCTTCGATTATTAACATATTAGTGTATGAGTATCCTGGTATGCTACTTCATTTATCATATTCGTATAATATCTAACAACTTTTTTGGTATATCCATATGTTAGTATACCATTGCCATGTGTCAGTGTACTTGCATATTACAGTATTCGTGTCTTAGCAAGTTAGCATATCAATACAGTATAATCAGACGTTAACAAGTAGTATATTGTCACGTTGGAAACTGGGTATATGACAAATTAAATACGAATATACTACGTTAGTACACGAATGCATTGATATATTTGCTTTTCAGATAGTGGTATGTATATCTGCGGACATTAATATACGCAGGTGTCTGTTAGTATTGGCATTAATATCAATATGAATATGACTATTGGTAGGCGTAGGAGTATTAATGTTAATAATAGAATTAGTAATGTGCATATTCGAAATGAAAGCATTAATATACATGTCAACGTTAGTGTTAAAAGCACTACACAGTAATCTTACTTGAGTCATATATAGAGCAGATTCCAGCATTTCCAAAATTTCCAAAATTCTCTCCCCTAACTTTCCGGATTTCCAAAATTTCCAAAATTTCCAAAATTTCCAAAATTTCCAAAATTTCCAAAATTTCCCGACCTAGTCGACAGGATTTTTCCAAAACATAAGGGCGGACTTTTTGGAAATTTTGGAAATTTTGGAAATTTGGAAATTTTGGAAATTTTGGAAATTTTAGAAATTTTGGAAATTTTGGAAATTTTGGAAAAATTTTGGAAATTTTGGAAATCTGGAAAGTTAGGGGAGAGAATTTTGGAAATTTTGGAAATTTTGGAAATGCTGGAATCTGCTCTATATATGACTCAAGTAAGATTACTGTGTAGTGCTTACTATGTAGTGTGTCAGCACAACCCTCATCCATACACGTGTGCTCTGTAATTCCTTTCTTGGTAGGACACCCGCGCGCCTTATCGTGCTGCTTTCTGGTCTCAGTCTTTTGGTGGTTCCAGGGATACGTTCGGAGGGCTCAAACTCGATACTCCGGAAAAAGCACGAACACGCCGGTGGGAGCGATTTTTTAAAGGGGATGGTCTGTCATGGGGGGGGGGGTGACCATATGTATATACATATGAAGGATTTGCTCTATTCAGGTCATGTTGTTAGAATGCTTGAATGCTTGTCTTGATGCTTTACACTGATTAGTAGCCATAGCTGTTTTGCTAAGAACCCACATCCACTTCGAACTTGCACCGGCAAGTTCAGCGAAGCAAAGGCGATAACAGGTCTATCCAAGTGTCTTCGCAGCGGGTGACCAAGTCGGGATGTGCTGGGCGCTGTTTGAGAACAGCGTCCCGCAGCTGTGGTGGTAGGCTGTCGCACATACTCTTGAGATCATCATCGCAGTCTACAGTCTGGAACATCGCTGCGCCCAAAGCCAATGCCACCTGCACAAAGCTCAGTCCCAGAAAGGAGGCGCAGGTTCCATAGACATGGCATTCAGTCAGCAAAAGCTCTCCCCAAGTCTCACAACAGCTAGCATCACAACACATATGTAAGGATGCCTCTCAACAAAACTGGTCAGTTTTGGGAAGAGTTCATCGGCTGCCAACGAGATGGGGATGATAGCTGACTAAGATCACCATACCATGCAAAGCCGAGGCACGATGCAGCTCTGACGGCACTGCTCCACCAGTTGCTTCAGCTCTTTGTCTGATAGCGGCTCTGGCAGAGGAAACGCGATCTCATCCCCACAGAAAGGCCTCAGCCCAGGAAAAAGTCACAAATTGCCTGCTGCAGCTATAGGTACCGTCATTACCACAACGACTCTTACCGGAAGCACGACCACGCGAGCTGAGAGCAGTGGTAAGACTGAGTTGCATTTGGTCGAGAAGTAGCCACTGCCCTAACCTCTGAAGCACTACGGATACAATTCTCACGTGTACTTTTCGCTACTGACAAGTTGTACCCAGTTGGTGAGGAAGGAGCAGCTTGTGACGAAGCACAAAGCCACTTGCAACTGCCAGTGCCTGCACACTAATTGTTGTGATGATGATGGACATCAGTGGTATTTGCATTATTCATTATTATTACTTCCGTTTTTCCACCACTACTATGACTAGCAGTTGCAGTAGCACTAGCACTAGCTGCCATTGCTGCTGTTGCTATTGCTGCTGCTACTTCTATTGCGGCTAAAGTTAAAGCTACTACTACCAATACTATGCTGCTACTAGTACTCCTCCTACTCCTACTCCTGCCCCTACTGCTACCACTACAACTACTAGTAGTAGTAGTAGTAGTAGCAGCAGTACTACTACTACTACTACTACTACTACGACTACTGTCACTTCTGTTTCTACTACAGTACTGTGAAGACAGGTGACATTATACCTATGAAGTACTGCTGCCACCGCCCATACTCGGACGAAAGGGCGCACTCTATTGAAAGAAGCTTTGACAGTTGCTGCACCTGTTTGTATGCACATGAGCATGGAGCAAAACCCAAAGGCTGCCAAGCAGAAAAAACAACTGGCTTATCACTTTCTGGATGAAGTATCGCTGTTCCAAGCAGGTTGGGGCAGTGGCCTCACCTGCTTCGAAACTCTCCGAAGAGCAAAAGAAGCGAACATATAGCACTTTCTTCAAATTTCCATTCCTATTGTGGAACCCAATATGGCTGAGCAAGGACCAACTAGTGCAGAAGCCCGGTTCAGCGGCATTCAGCATGGACGACGATATGTTGGTCTACTGGGTTTGCGCGAGCATGAACACGATCTACGTCAAGGCGGTTTCGCAGTATATATATATATATATATATATTGTCGGATGCCCTCGGGGCATATGTTGACGGATGCCCTCGGGGCTGTAGTAATTTAGCGCAGTGAAGAACATGTGTGTTAGTGGAATAGTGTCCATCAGCTTTCACTCTGGCCATACTGTAATGACACACAGCCACCAAAGCACACGGACACGAAACTAAAGCGTACATCACTGTTGCTTCTTAACCAAACTTCCCACCATGTGATGTCCGGAAGCCGACTAAACCAGAAAAGTGGTGTCACCGTGATGCAGCATGAAGTGCGGACGATGTACTTAGCACATTCTTTTGCCACGAAGTCCGACCAAAAACAAAAAAGTGGTTGCTCGTCTGATGTTCTTAGCACTGCTGCTAACAATATGGAGACCACTACTTCTGCCTTATGCTCGGAGAAAGATCGCCAAACACTGAAATAAATGGCACAGCAAGCCACACGGCTCCTCGAATTTGCATAAAATCCAACACAGTCTCCGTGATGTTGGTGGCCCCGATGATCAGCAAGATTTCCTTGTCCGTCTGTACCTCAGCTGCACAAGACGGATTGCAACGCGTATGACGCAAGTAGCTAGCACAGCCTTTGCCGTCCCATTGTGCCCTTGCCGGCAATGTAACCACATTCGTGATTCAACTAAAGCTTGGTTGTGGTGTGTATACTAATATGTATATCTATATCTATATATACACACCTATACATACACATATGCACACTGCAACGCATGCCTTCGTAGCCTTGGCCTGGCAGCTCGATGCTTGGAGCAAGTGGCCACACTGAAGTTAGGCAGCTCTTCTCCCTCGAGGATCAGGCGCTGGTCATACCTTCGCTCTACGACTACTGCCATTCATCGACAGAGAGGCTTTGGGGGTTTAGGGGTTAGGCATGCTCTTGCGGAATCATCAGAAGAGAAGCGACTGCACTGCACTTATCGTCCTGATGTCTCTCCTTGCGATGCTGGCATGACTATCCTTGACCATGCTGTGACTTCATCCAAGTCGCACAGGAATGCTTCTTGCCTCCTTGATGGCCATCTTCACCTCTTTTGCCAATGGGTTCCCGTGTGGCAACTCGACCTTGGCCAATTGCTGCACCCTGGCCTGTGTATATGTATATGTATGTATGTATATATGTATGTATATACGTATTTATGTGTATATACACTTGTTTGTATTTATTTCTACAAATACACATTCACATACACGGATCTTGTATATATATATATATATACATATATCTATGTACAGGTTATATGTACATACACCCTTCCGTCGTCCCACTTCAGTCGCTCTGCCTCGAAGCCGATGCCGCTTAGCAAGCGAATCGTGAAGACAGCGGCCATGGCCGTCAGCGGCGTCGCCGACCGAGTTATGTACTAGTAGGTATCCGAGGTCGCCAAACTTTCAAGCACACTAGCTGACCTCGGTCCCCGGGCGAAAAGTGTCGAAGGTAACATCATGCGCAAATCTAAAAGTACTAAAACTCGGTCTGTTTTGCCGCATGTGAAAGGGGGATCTACGCGGCCACTGGCTGTCACAGGCGGTAGCTGAACAAACTTGCCCACCGTCCGAGTCTGAGTTGAGCTGACATTACAACAAGATAGCAAACGTACGGAGAGCTGATTTTTCGTTTCCATTCAAGCAGGATGGGCATCTGGGCTGGCAACTAGACCTTGCGCATTTGCAAGGCAGATTTCTTCAGAAGGCTCCGCAAGTGAAGACCTGATAAGGGAAAACGTGCCATAAGGTTCAGGAGCTAGCACTGAAAGAAAGTCTGCCATCATTCCGGTGTCCATGGGTGCCCTGAGCTTTTGCCCTGGGCTTGAATTAGCTAGCAACTAGCGCCGCCACTCAGAAAATGCATCCTTGGGCAGTTGAGAGACGCTGCAGCTGCCCCCATAACAGATTGCAAACCAGTAGTCTTCCAACTTTTGCATTAGTGTCGTCGTGACGCAGACCATTACAGTTGCGGCAAGCGGCCTCCTGCCATTTCTGCAGCGCTGGGTCAATGTTTCCTGGGTGGTGTCAAAGCCATGCATCTGCAAGGTGGGAAAACATGAAGGACAGGCCATAGGCCCTCCATCCATCCACCAGGTTTGCGAGGAAGGGGGGGGGGGGGGCTTCGGGCAGAGAACTCCAACAAAACTGGCTAAAAGTGGCCCGCCCCCTGAGCAATTGGGAGCACAGAAAAGGTGATGGTTCGTCCCACTTCGGGCAGCCGAGAATCGAAGCTTGAGCGGTCTTTGGGGCGCTGAAGCTTTCACCACCTAAAGGGAGATCAGCTTGTCCGCAAATCATCGGCAGTGCCACAACCCACCTGGTATCCGGCTGCCAGGGATGCGCTCTCCGCGCCGTAGCTCCCACAAGAGGGGGCTCCCACATAGTCCAAGTAGGCACCCTGCCGCTCGGCAATCTGCCGTCTGCTTGAGTCTTCGGGGAGCACTTGAACAAGCTTGCAGATGTCGGGCGCAACACCCAGCTCCGACTTAGTTTAATCTTTAATGTTAACCGTAAAGAACTGCTTTGAGCAGACACTGGTAGCGGGGACGGCTCGCAAGAATTGAATTTCAACGCCAGAAGCAAAGCAGTCCATCGCAAAGATGCATACGATACCCGAAATCCAAAGTGCTCTAAGTTATACTAAACCCTATAGGGTTTAGGATTCCCGATCCGACGAAGTGTAGTCGATTCGACAGTCTTTGCCCCTTCTTGCTGCCTGGCTCCCGAGGCCGTCGCCAAAGGAAGGCAAGGCCACCTTCCAACCACAAGGGTTCCTTTAAGGGATGCTATAAGGGGTAAGGGTTCTATCAGGGGTCTTAGGGTATCTGTAGTCCCTGTCTGGTTCTTAGTCGGGTATGGAGGAATGGATTATGGAGACTACTATTGGGGATTATATGGGGGCTACTCTAGAGATCCATTCCCCCATTCCCTACTCAGCACCAGAGAGAGAAGGGGATCACAGGCTAGGGTTCACAGAGTTTCGGCTGTAGGTTTCTCTGCTGGAGTTTGAGAGAGTCGGCACTGCCATGAGTTGTCACAACCTAGAACCTGTGCCGCGCTCACTTCAGGAGCTCAGCTGGCAGTTTCCGTTATTTCCGCTATCAGTTTCAAGCAGCCCCTGATTGCCATGCCGCGTGTCCATACAGAAGCGAAGCAAACACGACAGATAGATTTCCATAATATACTATAATATGCCATAATATCCAATGAAATGAAACTTGGTGTTCTTCTGGGGGGGGCCAACAGGTTTAACTTTTTTCTCCGTTTATCCCTTATTACTTATTTACTTCCTACTTATAGGTTAATAGCAATGTTGCTTCTGCAGCTGCCGCAGCTGCTGCTGCTGCTGCTGCTCCAGCCAGAGGAGATGGCCAGGCCTCGGCAACACAGAACGCGAGATAGCTAGACACAACAGGTCTGGGTCGTCACTTGCATTGCACCGCTCTGGAGACTGCTTTTTAAGCTTTCACTCGGCGGAGCGTGGCTGCATCAGCGAGCTCAACTTCTAAAGCAAAGCTTCCAAATCGAGCTCTGCAACTGAACTGCTCGATGGGTGAGCGCGGCTGCATTAGCCAAGCTTCCAGATCAAGCTCTGCAACCGAACTGCTCGATGGGGAGCGCGGCTGCATCAGCAAAGCTTCCAGATCAAGCTCTGCAACTGAACTGCTCGACGGGGAGCGCGGCTGCATCAGCAAAGCCTCCAGATCAAGCTCTGCAACTGAACTGCTCGATGGGGAGCGCGGCTGCATCAGCAAAGCTTCCAGATCAAGCTCTGCAACTGAACTGCTCACTCGGCGGAGCGTGGCTGCATCAGCGAGGTCAACTTCTCAAGCAAAGCTTCCAGATCAAGCTCTGCAATTGCACTGCTGCTGCTGCTGGATGCAGACGCAGCAGTAACAAGAAACGTCAGCCTCGGATGTCTCGGCGGCGATGGAGGGATGCCTCTCCGAACCACCAAGCGCTGCTGAGCACCATGCGCCATCAAGATAGAGGCATGCTCAGGATGCTTCTCAAAGAAAGAATCAGCAAGATAGAGATATAAATGCATCTGGAGCGCGGGTCCAAAGCACAGGGCATTGCCTTCTCTCATCTTGGATCTGACCCACACTTTGTCCACAAGCCGCAATCCGTGCAACCTTGCCAGCAGAGCCACTGGGCTGTACAAGGAAGCGGACAGATCCTCCACCAGTGCTGCATGGGCATCTTCGGCAGAGCCGGCCAGAATATACCGGCGCCACACTGGCAAACGAACAGCGGCATCGCAGATGAAGCGAATTTTCTCTGGAAGCGGCGGAGCCAGGAGACTGGTTTTCGGAGCAGATGGAAGTTTATACCTGTACTGCCGACCAGCACCATCGACATAAGGCACTGGCTCCTGAGAAGGCAAACTCTGCACCAACTGACGGTTCTTCTGCTGCAAAGCAGACTGCTCATTCAAGATGTCGCCGACAGTACACAGTTTCTTCCTGACCCCAGCTAGCCAAACTTAGAAAACCATAAATAATGGTTCATCTACTTCCAAGACTGCAGCAAATCCGACACACTGCAAGAGAACTTCAAAACTTAAAATAATATTATGTCATTGGGCAGGGGTCTCAGGTGGCGCAGTGCTCACATCCAACCCATCATCTGGTTGCGCGCGCTTGCTGCTTGCACTCGTGCTTGCATCCAACCTGGCCCTTGCAACATCCGCATGTGCCTGAACCACGGCTCCCAAAGCAGCAGATGTGTCTTTGCTAGCAGCTGCGACAGCTTGGCTCACCGACTTGGTATGCATGTCTTTTGCCTGCTTGAGAGTTTCCATCGCAGGTCCAGCAGTCTTACGCACCCGAGTGAGTTTGGGTTTGCCCTCATGATGATCTGAACCCCGGGCACTTGATGGAAGAAGACTTCTGCCGGGGTCTTGCTTCTCGCCATAGAGCCGTCGATAGGCGTTTTGGCATTGCAAGCCAAAGTTGCTTGCTCTATACCGAACGCCTTTCTCAATACTCTCAGCAGCTGAGCGGAAGAGCGAATCGGGATTAAACGCTTTTCCTGGTTGACGGCCAGTGAAATCCTGCACATTCAGCTTCACGGATGATTCTAAAGTGTCAGCTCCGAGGGCTCGTGCGCGGTGCTTCAGCTCTGCCAAACGCACCTCGCCCAGGTACCGCTCCACGCTTTGGGTGCCGCACTGCACCGTCAGCGCCTTGATGATAAGCTGGACAGCGAGTGGTCGATCTCGCCGTTGCTGCGGTGTCATGTCTCCCAGAGTACGGATCCAGGCCGCAGACGAAGCGCCGTACTGGTCCAGCATGCGCTGCATCCCGGGAACATTGCCAGCCGTAGCAAAGTTCTTAAAGAACCACAGCGCCCTTGCGAAGATGCCTGATGAGGGTTCGGAGCCTGCGGCCGTTGAAGGTCCAACCAATTGCTTCCTCGGCCGCAAATTAAACAAAAGTTTGGCCAAGAAGCCCCAAGCCCGAACTCGAAATCCACACCCCTTTGCCCGAAACCGCACAATGAATCACGCTAAGCTGCCATAGGTCCTCTGCTGAACATTGTAACAACATTGCAAGTGTCGACATCAGCGTTTGACGCTGCTTCCACGAAAGCGTTCTATCCAGTCGCAAGGCTGCAAAGGCGTTCATTTGTTCATAACCTGGAAAGTTCGTATTCACGAAAGCTGAAAAAAGCTCATGTATCTGCTTCGCCACATCATGGAGCTCCGCAGTCTCGCCGACTGGAATGCTGCAGACTCGGTCCTTGCCCCCTTCCCGAAAAGGGATGGTACCCAGCTCGTTCAACATGCGCAGAGTTCGTTGTGTCACAGTGTCAGGTGCTTGAACAGCATCAAAAATGCAGTGGTCGGCAAACATGATCTCCACGCTGTGCAAAAGCTCCAGCACCTGCATTACGCTACACGAAGTAAGTACTGCTACCACCCACGAGCCTTCAAGCTTTGTTGTATACCTGGCCTCCCCAAGCTTCAAGAACACTTCCGTGTCCGCACGATCATCCTGCCGAAGAAAACGTTGAGCCATCATCAAAGCATCAGATGCCAGAGCTGCCGTCATCAGCTTTCGAAAGCCCTGCAGGCCCGTGACCTGCGTCAATAGCCTTCTTGACCAGCGTGCATCCTCCGGGTCGCCGTCTCTTGTGAGAGCCCCCAGAAAGCGCAGGACTGATGGGAAATGGAGAAAAATTTTGAAAAGTGGCTCGGACAGCGAGTCGAACCTTTGCAAAGCGAAGGACATATTCTTGACCGCTTTGCGAAAAGACTGGGCTTGCTCCGCCTGAAAGATGTTGGAGTATTTGGCTGAGTTCCTGGCACAGTACTAAACGGTCAGAGAATTCACTGAGA